CCCCGAGGGGTCCCAGACTGCAAGAGGGTGCAGGCCAGGCTAAGGGACACCCCCTTCCCAGTGCAAGAATTTTGTGCACCAGGCCTCTAGTTATAAATAATGCTGCAGTGAACATAGGGGTGCATATATTCCTTTGAATTAGTGTTTTGGGTGTCTTTGGATATATACCCAGAAGTGGAATCACTAGGTCATAAGGCAGTTTCCTTTTTAATTTTTTAAGGAACTTCCATACTGCTTGCCAAAGTGGCTGCACCAATCTGCATTCCCACCAACAGTGCATCTGGGTTCCCTTTTCTCCACATCCCCGCCAACACTTGTTTGTTGATTTATAGATGATAGCCTTTCTGGCAGGTGTGCAGTGATATTTCATTGTAGTTCTACTTTGTATCTCTCTGATGATTAGTGATGTTGAGCATCTTTACATATGTCATATGGCCGTCTGTATCTTCTCTTTGGAGAAGTGTCTATTCAGGTCCTTTACCCATTTTCTAACCAGTTTGTTTGTTTTTTTTGGTGTTAAGTTGTTTATAAAATTTGGATATTAACCCTTACTGGATGCATCATTGGTGAATATCTTTTTTCATTCAGTAGGTTGTGTTTTCATTTTGTTGATGGTTTCCTTTGTTATGCAAAACCTTTTAAGTTTGATGTAGCCCCATTTGTTTATTTTTTCTTTTGTTTCTCTTGCCAGAGGAAATTATCAGAAAAACTATTGCTAAGAGAAGTGTCTGAGATTTTACCCCCTATGTTTTCTTCTAGTTTTAAGGGTTTTGAGTCTTACATTTACATCTTTAGTCCATTTTGAGCTTTTTCTTATATATGGTGTAAGAAGGTGGTCTAGTTTATATTTTGCATGTACCTGTCCAATTTTTCAACACCATTTACTGAATAGACCTTCTTTATCTCATTGTATATTCTTGGCCTCAGTCAAATATTACTTGATCGTATTGGCGGTGTGTGTGTGTGTGTGTGTGTGTGTCTGTGTGTCTATATATATCTTCATTTTGGCTTTTTGGAGAGATCCTAATCTAAAATCCTGCTACTGGACCAAATAACAGCTTGCGAATGTACATTTACCTTTATAAGTTGCATTAGTATAAACCTAGAAAATCTATTGGGAAAGGCTCTGTTGTTAAATTTTTAACATCCAAATCTTTATAATGAAAACACTTACAAATTACCTCCTACTTCAAAATTACTTGGTGATTTGTTAGTATTGGCTGTGGGTTTTTTTGTTTTATTTTGT